TCCTAAACTTTAAAATATACAACTTGTATGCTACTTCTACAGTTCTCACAACCAAAGTTTATCAAAGACTAAGCAACTCAAATCGCAGAGCAGTCACACCTCTGACAAAGGTAAGATGCAACAGCTGAAACTCACCTCCATATGCTGAGGCACTAAGCGCAACAAGTGACACCAATAACCAGCAGTGTTTGCCCCCGAGGACTTCAACTAAAGGAGCCCACAGTCCTTTTGCAACCCATGGAAATAGCAGGGCTTTCAATAGGGAAACACTGCAAAGGGAAAAATAGCACAGTCTTAAAAGTTCCTTCCTGAAAAGTCACTGAATTTCTTTCTTTTGTTTTGGTTGAAATATAGTATGTGGAAATCGGAATTATCAACAAGCATTACAGAATATAGATTAACAAACATATAAATAACCAGAGAGAGAGAGAGAGAGAGAGAGAGAGAGAGAGAGAGAGAGAGAGAGAGAGAGAGAGAGAGAGAGAGAGAGAGAGAGAGAGAGAGAGAGAGAGAGAGAGAGAGAGAGAGAGAGAGAGAGAGAGATGGGGGGGGGAGGAAATAGATGAGAGAAATTACAGCATAAAAACTGAAATCACAAATTAATATCTGGCAATCTGTAGGAAGATAATCATTGCACCAATAAACTACTGGATTTTATTACTTTTTTATGTTTTTCTTAATGGAATGTAAATCACTGAAGAGGTTAATGAACAGTACTGAATGTAGCTTGAAGTGAAAGGAAAATAGTTATCATTAGTTCAGTAGAATGCATCTGGGATGAACTTGAGCTTTTATTGCAAAACCAACAGGTGATATACCTTTATGGTTATGAATCACCTTTTGCAAGTGCATTTTTATCTGTATATTGCATGAAATTTGGCTTCATAAAAGCAAATCTGATACAACCTAGTCTAACTCAAAATTAAAACACCTTCGAACAAAAATGATAGACTGTCATGAATATCCTCATATAGGAAATATTTCATAGATAACTTTGAGGCAAAAGATAACTACCTTGAGTACTGCAGTCCCCGAGAACGAAGCTGAATGGGAATGAACTTGTCTTGCAGCCCATACGGGATGCCCTGAACCAAGTAGAGCCATCCCAAAGAGGTGAGAGATACCGAGGTCCTCAATGCAGTCCCTCGAGACATTCCAGCAGAGGCGTTAGAGCATTATTTGCAAAACGATCCCTTTTGTTAGAGAGCACTATGAAAAAAGTGAGCTGAAAGCAGACTATCATAATTAGTGAAAAATCATTAAAGAAGCAGTTATGACTATTCAAACAGCAAATTAACATGTAAAAACATAAGTTACTCTATATAAACATATGAAAAATCACAAAAGCAACACTTCAGCAAATATTTAGAATAGTACCGCACACAGACAAAAACAAAAACTAACACTTTGTACAGGAATCAAATAAGACACTCGATATTCCCATTGATCTACTAAAGTGAAGGACAATGGCACAATCAGGTACTATTGGCCGATTTGTTAAAATTGTGCAAGGCCCGACCCAATGAATTTTCATAAATATAGACATGCATATGCGCAGAAATAAAGCCATGTCTATATATATGATAGATATACATTTAACCATCTATTTGCCAGGTTGATATGCATGTCTAGTCCAATAAATATGCATTTTATTTTTTTATTCATGCATGACATATATATGAATATTCTTTGCATAGGACCTGGCACAATTTTGACAATTTGACCCTATGACTGATACACCTGCACTGACTCAAGCAATCATCAAAGTCTCATGCAAATTACCCCCACTGGCAAAAAAACAATAAACCTTAACCCTATATTTTTTGGTAAGACAGAGCTTTATCATCAAGTGAGGAATGAGACCAAGTTCTACCATGCCAAAATATACTTGGCGGAGATCTGCCGAGTTTTGCCAGGGTGCAGCTCTACTATGAACTAACACTAGCCTAATGATCTGAGTCTATTAGGCCCTTTTAACTTGCAGACTTTCTGTTGTGTCATTCATGTCAGGTTCTTTCAGACATCCCCTTTTTCCCTGCCCGATATGCGTAAGAAATCCTCAGCAACTTCACCGGAGACATTGCCGGCACTGACACCCACGGAAGCCTACGTTTATCTTTGAATGCATGACACCCAGCTGATCACCACCCAAGACTGTATGAGAAAGATGGGAAACCACGTATCACGCCGATTAAAAGATTAAAGACGATGATTCCAAAATTTCGTTTACAGCGCCATCTATCTTTTGTATGTATAACTAAGAAAGGAGAATGTGTATAGGGGGGACTATGAGTTTTATGATGTTGTGCATTTTTGATTGGACATTGCTACCTTAAACCAATCACTCGACTTTGGGAATGAGCAACTTGATAATCAAGTATATTTCTTCTTATTTTCTTTGTATTAGCGTTGCTATTCAATGAGGAATTTGCGGTAATTTTTCAGTCACACAGCCCTCCCACCTCGCAAATAATTGCGGTAATTCCGTTGTCGTTTTCCA